GAGAGAGAGAGAGAGAGAGAGAGAGAGAGAGAATATCTTAATCTTATGCAGGCTCCATGCTTGACGCAGAGCCCAACATGGGGCTTGATCCCATGACTCTGAGCCGAAATCTGGAGTAGGATGCTCAACCAACTGAGCCACCCAGGCACCCCTAAAACTATTCTAAAATAAGATTATTTTAAAAAATGGAATGGTTAGTCTCCAATAATGTGCTATTATTTTATTTAATAAGAATATTTCTACTTGGGATCAAGTGTACTATTGGATTAGCTACCTTTAATTAGAAAACAGCCTTGAACATTGAATCACTATGTTGTACACCTGAAACTAATATTGTATGCCAACTGCACATCAATAAAAAAAAAGAAAAACAACCTGAAACATAAGCCTGTAAATGGAGTTTTAAAAGTGAATTTAATTGGTGAGGTTTTTTTATGGGAAAATAATGTAAAATTAGTAGTTTTAATTTAAATAGCTTTACTGGAGTTATGGCAGTTTGATATGTTAACAGTATGCTGTATTTAAAACTGTATTTGATTTTGAAGCTGTCTTTCAAAGTTTTAAAATAGTTATGATAAGTTGATTTCTTTTCCAGTCACTTTTAAGGTATTACTTCAGAACTGTTGAACTCTCTATTCTCTGTCATTTTAAAATGGCATGAGGCCATTGTGAGTATCACTTATTCTGCAACCTTTGTAGTAAAAGAAAATTTGTGAGTGGGGAAAAAGAGCATCTCATATGTGAAAGCCTTAGGAAAGAGAAGAAGGTTAAAAGATCAGTACATTGGAATGTTATTTGTGCAGATATGCATATATTTTCACTTGACTTCAGTAGAAAAATTCAGAGAAGTTCTGAGACTGTCCAAGCCATAAGTTCTCTTTAATTTATAGTTGTCCTTTGTATCAAGAGTTTATTTCTTTTTATTTCCATTATATTGATATACCACTATTTGTTTATTCACTCACTTGATTCTAGGCCTTTGGGTCGTTTCTAGTTTGGGGCTATTACAAATAAAGCTGCTGTGGATATTCATGGATGCATTTTTGTGTGGACATAAGTTTTCATTTTGTTTGGGTAACTACCTAGGAATGGAATGTCTGGGTAGTATGGTAGGTATATCTTTAACTTCTTTTAAGAAACTGCCAAGGTGTTTTCCAAAGTGGTTATACCATGTTTAATTCCTACTAGTAGTGTATGGGGGTTCTAGATCATCTACATCCTTGCCAGTGTTTGCATGGGTCAGTCGTTTTAATTTTAATCATTCTAGTAGTTTTGCAATGCTGTTGAACTGTGGTTTTAATTTGTATTTCCCTCATTACTCATACTGTTGAGCCTCTTTTCTGTGCTTTATCATTTAGCTTTTCTTTCCCAAGTAAGCACATAATGTTTTCCAAATAATTATTTTTTTCATTTATGTTTTTTGAGAGAGAGAGAGAATGAGGGAATGCAAGCATGGGAGAAAGACAGAGGGAGAGAATCCCAAGTACGCTACTAGCTCAGTATGGAGCCCAATGTGGGCATCCAGCCCACGGCCTTGGGATCATGACCTGAGCAGAAATCAAGAGTTGGACACTCAACCAGCTGAGCTACCCAGACGCCCCTGAAGAGCAATAGATTTTAATTTTAGTTTTGTTAAATGTCCAATTTATTCTTTTCTTTTATGGATCTTAATTTTGATAGTGCATCTGAAAAATCTAACCCAACACTTCTCCACCATGGCACTATTGATATTTGAGCCAGATAATTCTTTGTTATGGGATCTGTTTGATGCATTATACGAAATTTAGTAGAATATTTGGCCTCTGTCCATTAGAGTTCAGTACCATCGTCTGCCCCTTACCCCCCAGGTATAGCAGTAAAAAATATCTCTAAACATTGACACATGTACCGTGGTTGAGAACTATTTGCTTGACCCCAAGGTCACAAAACTTTTTTCCTACAAGTTTTATTGTTTTAGCTCTTACATTTAGTTGTGTGATCCATTTTGAGTTAAGATTTATATATGATATGTAGTTTATAGTCCAGTTTCATTTTTATGAACATGAATGCCCAATTATTTTAGAATTGACATGAACTAATGTGAGTTCTCTAACATGTTATTCTTTCTTTTAAAAAAAAAAATCTAATGTTTATTTTTGAGAGGGAGAAAGAGACGGAGTGCAAATGGGGGAGGGGCAAAAAGAGAGGGAGACACAGAATCCAAAGCAGGTTTCAGGCTCCAAGCTGTTAGCACAGAGGCCAACGCAGGGCTCAAACTCACAAACTGCCAGATCATGACCTGAGCTGAAGTCAGATGCTTAACTGACTGAGTCACCCAGGCACCCCTATTCTTCCTTAAAATTGCTTCAACTATTGTAGTTCCTTTCCCCTTCATCATGTAAATTTTAGAGTTAGCTTACCTATTCCTACAAAACAGACTGCTGAGATTTTGTTTGGATTGCGTTGATAATAGGTCAATATGTGGAAAAGTGACATCTTAAGAATATTAAATCTTTATATTTTTAAGGTTTTTAAAGTAATCTCTAAACCCAACATGGGGCTCACTTAAAACCATGAGATCAAGAGTTGCATGCTCTACTAACTGAGCCAGCCAGGTGCCCCTAAAATGTTTCTTATACGTAGCAAGTTAGCACTAAATTGTTACAAGTGATTATGTCATCAAGTGAGCTTGAGAGTGTTAACAAGATTTTAAGTGCTTCTCTGTGTCTAGCACCTTGAATAGGCTCTATGAAGGGTAAGAAAATTTCTATTATACCTGCTCTGGTAGAACATAGTTTTATTTACAGAGATAAGAATAACATATTAAATAATTAGGTTTGAACAGTGGTGAAGTTTAAGGATAGTTCAGTGTGCATTGGAATAGTGAGAGGAGGCCAAACCTCACAGGATTGTAGAAGATTGAGAGAGAAAAGGTGATTTCGGTTCAAATGAACATCTGAATAAGGACTTGAAAATAGTAGCAACTTTTTTTTTTTTAGGTTTAACCTGTCATTTATTTATTTTTATTTTTAATTTAATTTGATTTTAATTCCAGCATAGTTAACATACAGTTATATTAATTTCAGGTGTACAATGTAGTGATTCAACAATTCTGTACATTACCCTATGCTCTTCAATGACAAGTGCACTCTTTAATCCCCATCACTTATTTCACGCATCCCCCTACCCACCTCCCCTCTGGTAACCATCAGTTCTCTATAGATGAGAGTCTGCTTCTTGGGTTAACGCTCTTGGGTTAACGCTTTTTCCTTTACTTGTTTGTTTTGTTTCTTAAATTCTACATGAGTGAAATCATACAGTAATTGTCTGTGATTGATTTATTTTGCTTAGGATTATACTCTCTAGCTCCATCTATGTTGTTGCAAATGCCAAGGCTTCATTCTTTTTTTTTTTTTTTTTTT